TGTGCAAAGTTTTATTCCGACAACTTGATTGATATATAATTTGTATACTGAAAAGCTTATAAATCAGATGGATTTTAAAATATTGTAATATGGGAAGTTATATGGACGTGGTTGTCATCAGTTTTAGTCCATTTTCACAAATTCAAATAAGAATGTTTGGGTAACCTCACGCACCAAACTTGGTTGAAATTGATCAAGTAGTTCCTGAGGTATAGAATTTCACCTCCAGGTGGGCGGTGCCACGCATATTGTCCACTTTTTATACATGCATTTATAAAACCTTCCACTACCATTTTGTTTGTGAAATTTATTGCTTGTGGCGCATTTTTTTATTAAGTTATCGCACTTTTAGTTCTTTTGAACATAATGGTTAATGGGGAGTGAACGTGGTTATTTGATTTTAACTATTTGTACAGAATATGAAGAATATCTAAAAATATTTATTCTCAGCAAGTTTGGTTGATATAGCTTTACCGCTTTACCGATTTGGAAGATATTTACATTAAACCCTTTAGAGAGCGTGGTTAGACTAGACCAAAACAAGTATACTCTGTAGCAACATGTTGCAATAGTATAAGAATAGGAAAATACAGTGAGCAACACATAATTTAAAAATGATTTTCAATTTCACCACTTTGTATCCAATAAATTGAATATAATTGAAATAAACTACCACTAGCTTGAGTTAACCCTTAGCTACCACACGTGATAAGTTTTAACTTCCTTAACTCTGAATTAACTAGAAAAAATTGAGATTAGATTTAAGTATGATAACATACCATACCAAGCCCAGTTAGAATCTTAGAGCAATATCTTAACTAACGTTATTGACTTTGTACAATTTTAATAATAGTTGTCTCCCTCCCTACTGGACTTCTTTCAGTGAACAGATGTACGTCTTATATGTGCTAATCGGACCGCTTTGACCGTGTTTTTTACATTATTGAGTCATAGAAAATTTCAGAAATTATTTAGTTTCCCTAGTACTCGCGGCAGCGTAAAGCGACTTCTGTAAAAATACAAAGCTGTTTAATTAACGACGTTTAGATCTAAAGAATCGAATTAGTATTGCGAGATATTTTAGCAAAGCTGTGCAAAAAGTTTCTTTAAAATATAGCTGCGGAAGGTAAATATACTAGAAATGAAATTTATTACCTTTGCAAGACTCAGAATGCAAATCAATATTTTTGTGGTTGTCATACCTTTTACGTATTTAATATGTGGAGAAGGCCTCCCAGAAATGGACGCACGTGATATCATTCAAAACGTTACTGCTTTCAAACTTTTTTAGAAGGAATCAAACTATTTTATCAGAGCTCAAAAGCAAAGGGAGAGATGTCTGAACTGACCCACAGAAGGCGGTTCAAAAGTCACTTTTCTGTTGTGCTCTGAATTATATATAAATATTGCTTCAATTACTTTATTGCTATTTTAGACTTGAGTACTAACATCGTAATCCATAAAGAAAAATACAAGGATGAAGATATCACATAATTTATTTTCGGTTGACCAACTTTTGAAAAGCTTAAATTTGCGCCGATTTTCTTACAAAAATCACTTAAATGCGTATTAAGCACATTTTGCTGACTTCATAAGAATTTTGTCAGTCGATATTTTATTTTCTTTCTACCATCTACTTCTACTACTTCTTACACATAATTGACAACTCAACTGGCCTAATCTAACGGATGTACATATCAACTTAGCTCAAAAGGAATTTCAAAGAAAAAAGTCGTTTCACTAAATTGATGTTAACAAAGCAGACACTTCAGCTAGAAGTGAGTGTTTGCATATTCTGTTTAAAGCATTATAACAGTATAACAAATTTTTAAATTCACTACAACGAGATTTTGTTTATTTATTATTTTTACGTACAATATTTAAAATAGCAAATATTTCAACAGTATATACATTTTTCAAACTCAATAAATTGTACAAACAAAAATACTTAAAGTCCGCAAACTCGTAAATTATAAATAGTTTACCATAGTTTATATTTTGTACAGAATTTACAATAAAATAAACAAAACATTTTAATTAAATTTATAGTCGCCAAAATACATACTTTTTTATGAATGCAAAAAACAAAAATAAAATATTAAACCAACAAGGAATAAATAAAAATTACAAAAAAATATTAAAATACTATAAAACTGCGCTGAACTCCACTCTAGTATTTATGAGTATTTGCGAAATTAAATGGACAATAGTGGTCGCGACATGTAAAAAATATTCAATACCTCAACCGATCACTGCATAAATTGCCAAAAATAACAAAAGAAAATAGACCAAAGTGTTATTTGTATTTGATGAAACAATGAAAGTGAGGATTTATTCAAACAACTTGAAAATAAAAATTCAAAATTGTTATAAAAAAATGAATCTGCATCAATAACCACGAATAGTTAAACGCAAAAACTTTTACAGCAAGAAGAGTACACATACAGTACAGGTACACAAACATGTGTATATAACTATACACAGATGCTAGTAAACATATCAGTGCGCCTGTTGGTATGCAACGATATTTATTTGTTTCGCATAATCAAATATGCAGTCTCAGTATATACTTGTATGAAAATATTTATATACAATATATATATGTGCTGCAGTATCGCACCTTTTTCAGTGCACAACTATGACGAATATAAAAATATGCAAGAAAAAAAGCTGGTTATTTATTGAGAGGCAATAGCGCGTTAATACTGCGCTAAACTATATGTATTTATATTATTTATAGCCAGCGCAATATTCAGGATTTACAGTTAAAAAGATGTGGTAAACGAAATCATGCGGTGTAGGGTCCAAAAAGATTTGTGGTTAAACCCATACCATATAAAAATAACAGAATTTAATAGAAATGTATTCACACAAAGCTTTCTCGTGTGGAAGGCAATACCACAAGTCATAAATGTGAGCAGTAAGACTATTTTCAATACATTCAATTATATACAAACAAATATATATATCATAGGATGGCAAAAAATATATTATAACGCAGCAGAGTAAGTAACTTTATAATATACAATTTATTGATATGTAATGAGATAATAGCAAACTAGATATAAGACCTCCATCAATTCGCAGATTTGAAATCCAAAGTAATGAACACAGGCTCAGGGTTTAAAAGAAGTGCAAACTTTGGGTTAAATAATACAGGGTGTACCATGTGTTATGTCAATACCTCACAGAAATGGAATGGAATAGTGTTTTATGCCAATTAATTTACATCGATTGTCTCGTTTTGAATGAAAAAATATGACCCAATATAAACATAAATGATAGTCGATTTAGCCATGTCCCTCTGTCTGTATATGTCCGAACGAGTCCCTCAGCTATTAAGATGTCGATCTAAAATTTTGCACATGTCCTTTTCTCCTCAAAAAGCATGTCATTTGTCGGCAACACCGAAAACAGCCCGCTATAACATATAGCTGTCATACAAACTGCTCATGATAAAGACCTTTTACATCGTTTTATGCTATAAGAAATGCACCTGTGAAAAATATTATAGCTTCGGTGCAGCTGAAATTAACGTTTTTTCTATTTTTTTTTCCTTGAAGGACCGTCCGTCTAAAAATAACTTTTTACCCATGCAATCGTGTGACATTAGTCTTTAATTAATTTACTGAAAGGTTTGAAGGTATACCTTTTCCAGCGGCCACTAAAATTATGGGATTTGACTCAATAACAGTAAAATTTTTTAAAATAATAATAATAATGGTTGCCTGAGAGTTGGCTTTCGAAGATTTTTGAACTCAAACATGTAACAATTATTATTAATTATTATAATTTTTAAATAAAAATCATTTTTTCATTAGCACAGAAAGTGAAGCGGAAAATATTCGGCAATTGTATAAATATATTGTTATTATTGTGGGCAGCAAATACTTTTCTGAAATTTCAAAGAACGTTTAGCTCAAGATAGCACTCAAACCCATTCAAATTTATATGATGCGAACCATAATGCCAGCCTAAAAGAAGACTAAATGGCACTTTCAATATTACATTGGGTATTTAAGACAAATAAGCAATAATTAATCCTTGAATAATAAAAATAATTATTATTAAATAGAAAAGAAAATATGCAAACAAAATTCAGGAGGCATTAAATACAAAATTTTGAATAGCCGATTCAGGAAAACCACGTAATCAAAGCCATATTAATGGCACCATGTATGTATATATTATATGACTACCATGAAAATATAGTGTATGTAATAGTATATGAAAAAATGTGGAAAACGGTTGGCCTCAAGGGCCATCCCTGCAACTTCCCTCTAATTTCATACGCTAACGTTCAAATTTCGCTTTTTTCACTGCTTTTGAGCTCTTCGAAATTTTTCGTTTTCGATATCTAGCAAGTAAATCAACCGATTTCGACCCGGTTTGCGGCAAACGATGTGTTTCTTCAAGGTTTAGAACTGATTAGTTTTTGGTGTCGATCGGTCAAGTCGTTTGGAAAATTTTTTTGAGATTTCTCGAAATCTACTGGTCCGATTGGGTCCAAACTTACACGAAATTCAAGTGCAATGAAACCCTTTGGAATGCCGTTTAGTTTATTCAAATCGGTTGAGCAGTTTAATAGTTATAAGAGGGTCACATACATCCACACACACACACATACGTACAGACATACGGACATCATCGTAGAAATGTTCGGGGAAGCTTCCTCGACCCTCAGAACGTCGAGATCTGCTGAGAACTCGATTTTTGCAAAATGGGGTGAAACCAATATCTTCCCGATTTTTAGAAAATTTTCCATTTTCTTAGCGGGAAGTTAAAAAATGTTCCTCACATGCGTATAACTATTTATAATTGTATTTCCTTTAATAAATAAATAAATATAAAAAATTCATATGTTGAGAGTTTATGCAGCGATAATAAGGAATTTTCTCACTTTTGAGTAAAGTAGTATTTCAAAAATAATGCAATTACTTTCAATCTTTGCTCAATATTTCATTAAAATTAAAAATTTCTATAAGAAAACAAACACTTACCTTAACTAACTATCGTTTAGCAGCATTCATGTATGTAGTTATGCAGTGAGGATGTGCTTGATCACAACATCTATTTCATTAATCGTGAATACTTGAATAGCCTGCAAGAAAACAAGCAAAAAAAAATATATATATCATAATTTTTCCAATAAAAATTTAAGCACACGCATACAGATAAAGATATGTATATAACTTGTATGAAACCCAGAAAAAAGTTCGCTGTGTGCACTCGAACAAGTAGTGTACTTAAAAAGTCACTCATACGCCCGGGCCAACAATATTTATGCTCTTGTTATTGTGAGTGCAAGTAAGCGCTTACGCTATTATCTAACATAGCCGAGCAAGCCCAACCACTTGTTATGCCTTAACCTGCATAAACATAACGCCTTCTCATCGAAGTACTTAACTTTACGAAGCCCCATACAACAACATGCGCACATACCCACACACAAGGGTGGCACAATTGAGAAGTGCTTCAAAAGGAGAAATGAAATTCAATTTTACTCTGACAAGCAGTTCCTTGTGTGTATGTGTGTGCTTTGCTGCCAAAATGAATGCAGATGCACCAGCAGCGCTGGTGGACGTCCCCGTTATGCACTAAATGTGCTTACTTATTTGGAAAATGCGCATTTAGTGTGATTACAAGCACAAAAAGGTCTGTTCACCGCAACGAAATTGCAAGTCAAAGGTTTTCGATGCAAATTTTACACATGAGCGAAGCGAAATTATTTTAAGAAAGTGTTTTAAAAATGCAGTTTGAAAAAATAATTTGATTATGTATGTATGTTAAACTTTTAATTTACATGGGATAGTTTTACTATTTGAGTAAAATATATAACATCTTAGTACAGAATGATTGACAGAAATTATCGCTTCACCATTTCTTAGCGCGCTATCTTTTACACTGCTTTCTTGTCAAATATTTTACATCAAGGAGTTACAAAAGTGAAGAAGAAGCTTCGACGGGATGAAGCATGTATCCAGCAACGAAAGAAGAGCTACAAAATTGAGCATGCGTGCGAGGATATGTTAGTGATTGTTAAGATTGTACCGTAAATGCTGTCATGCGGTTTGATCAGCTTTAATAATCGGCGATTCATTTTGAAACATTTTGGAAACTCTTAATCCCGCAACCGATCTCCAGGATGACCTCGGAGAAAAGGTGTCTGGTGGTGAGGAAGATTTTTCTGCTTAAAATTAGCTCAAATTCAAAAACATAAAATATTTATTATTACAATAGATGAATACAGCGAATAATCAAAGGACTAGTCAAAATTTGGATTTTCGACAAATTGGTAGCTTCCCAAACAAACGTTGTTCTTTGTGAAAAACATTTTTTTTTTATTATATGTATCCACCAGGAGATACTATAGCCGATCATATGTATTCGCTTCAATAGTCTGCTATATTAGATAGCTAAATGTTTTTTAAACCGTAACATATATGTAGCTATACAATAGAGGATACAATTTTTCCCATAATACGTGCATAGGTATCGATTTAGCCAGGGAGATGTGATATGAATCGGAAATTTTGCACACGTCCTTTTCTAACCAAGAAACTGCTCATTTGTCGGAACCGCCGAGGTTGGACAACTATAGCATATAACTGTCATACAAACTGACTGATCAAGCTCAAGTCCTTGTATGGAAAACTTTCTAATTCGACAAGCTATCTTCATGAAATTTGACACAGATTATTAGCCAAGACATCGCTACAATCTCCGAAGAAATTGTTTACATCCGACAACTATAGTATATAGTTGTCATACAAACTGATCGTTCAAAATCAAATTGATTTTTTTCTATTTCTATTTTTACAAAGAACAGCTTTGCCTTTTACGTTACCTCTTTTTATATCACGCGTTAGTAAAACATTTTAGAGAGCCAACACTCTAGCCGTTACTCGCAGTTGATGGGTATCTAGCGCTTTATGGACGATTTCTCGTTATTACTCAAAAGCACCCACATTTCTTTTCAGTTCCACCCTAAATTTTCTACAATTTTTATGAACTCGCAACATTCAAACGAAAAGAAAGAAAAACTAAAAACTGGATTTTTATGAGTTTTACGGTATTGCCACATAAATACTTCCTTCGCGCGTTCACGCTAACAACACATAACATAGCGCCGCAACACAGCACATCACGGCACTTCATCTTATGCTCCTTATTGTCGGTTGGCTGCTCGTACATATTCGGGCGGAAGTCCAAATTATAACGCCGGTTTTATATGCGAACGCATCGTTGCTGCCACGAAAGCCATAAAAAATGTAATCGCCCACTAAAAAGGCGATGGCGCAGCGAAAGTGCATAAGCGGCAATGCAAAATATATATGTGAGTGTTGCTGCCATAAATGTAGGCATTATAGCGGCTTGCGCACTTAGTCTTGCGATTTCGTGTTGTTGTATCACGTGCAATACAAAAACATGTGCTGCCGTAAAATTTTTACGCTTTCTAAATTTCTGATTTACAACTGGTGGCGTGTGGTTGCACTTGGTGGAAGTCGAATTTTTAGCGACCATAATGTATGTTGTTGTTGTAGAACAAATAACGGATATTTCATAGCATTCAACATATTAAAAATTAAGTGGAATGAGAAATTATTTGCAATGTCCCAGTAGTTGATTTTTTTTTTTTGTTGGCGTTGATTGTTTTCAAAAATTTGCGGGACTTGAATGTGTTTCCATCTAAAAAAAAACATAAATAATTTTTTTCAACCTGACTTAATTTACAAATTTTCGAGAAGAATATCAGAAGAAAATCCCTCTTCAAGAAAAAAATGTGAGGTTATGTTATTAACCTGATACCTAAGAGAGTAGGACAGTAGTCAGGGATTTACAAAAAAAAAACCAAGCTTTTTGTATTTAGAGAACACTTGAGGATTCTAACATTATTGGAAGAATCGTGAAAAAACTATTTCCCTGCCTACCCCGCTGTAGCGATCAGTTAGTTCCAGCACGTATACTTTATAACCTGGGTTAGGTTACATTAGGTCGTAGAGTTGAGAGAGAATCGATGGATCTCACTTGAACTTGTGTTGCGCTGGTATCCACCTAAAAGTGGATATCAGATCCTCAGAGATCGACGAGGCACTTTAAGCTTACCACAAATTTATTAATCAATCCTAGTCAATTCACTAGGTTCGCCAAAGGTGTGTCTACCGAGATATTTTAATTTCAGTCTAGCAATGGCCGGGCAATAAATATTGTTCAGTCATAACACCTACAATTGCGGCGAGATTGACTTTGCTAAGAGCAAGTAGCTTGGATCTCACAGTCGCACAAGCTCTGGTGGTTGACTTTCGCTTGCCAAGTAATCTAGAGATCCATAGATAGCGCTAGAACGGAAGAGGACACCGAAAAACCGACTCAATCGGATGAAATTGGGGTAAAAGTGCCCGCTCTAACATGCTTATCGGTTTAAAGATCCGGCATTCTGCTGTGATCGGGTACCCATACTGCTACTTTGATAGCAACCACCTCTGCTTTAAAGACGCTTCAGTGGTCTAGTAGCCTGAAACATGAGTTGATGGGGAACTCCCGACAGAGGATTCTACTTCTTACCCTCCCGCTTAATTTTGACCCATCCGTTAAAAAGCTAATTGCACCTCTTGTCCAACGGCTTCGGCCAACGGCCAAGAAGGAACTGCAAGGAGAAGGTTCCTCGCTGCAATGATCTAGATTGTAAGGAATGCAATCGAAGTAGTTGAGAATTTCAGTGTTCTTACCCGGGGGCACCCCAACTTCCCTAAGTCTAATAACAGCCTTCACCGCCAAGTATCTACCAGTATGTGCCATTGTTGGTGTTGTCCATAGTGCACCACAGATGTCGATAAGGACCGCTCTTTGAACGTGCTCCAGCTGCTTAGCTAGTGTGGTTTTTCCGAGCGCCTTTTATGGTACTAGACAACGACTCCATAAAACAATATTGGCTTAACTACGGTTTCATAGAACCAGTACACCACTTTTGTTGCGAGGTGATGCGACCGATGTTTTCCTCACTCTCTTCTCGATGTTTGGCTTCCATGAGAGCTTCCTATCAAGGATAATCCCCAATTACTTCCCGCTGTGCAGCGATTGAAGAACAGAGCCTCCCAAAAAGGGGAGAGTAAAAACTAGCTCAATGTTATTTGGATTTATGGCTAATCCATTTCTACCTGCCCACTTGATTACCATACTTGGGTGAGATCGTAAACGGTATTTAGGATTTTTTTTTCCCATTTATGTTAGATTATAAACAAACAGCTAAAACCAATTTTCATAGAATGCTCAGTAAACTCCCAAAACCACTTACAATAATAAAATCAAAACAAAAATCTGCACATTTGCTGCACATCAGCAGCTAAAACCTCTTTTGTTGAAACTCTAAGCCAAAAATTAATCAAAGCAATCAGCTGTACAAGCTGACAAATGCAAATTTCCACACCCCATTCACAAACACACTTAACTTTGCCCGCACTTACCATAGTAATCATGTAAAAGTCCCCCAGCTGTTCTGTCTAAGATATAAAGAAATTTCGGTACTGCTTGTCAACAACTCCAAGAAAACGAGATGGGGTTGCATTAAAGCGGAGGGACTTATGTTTTACCACACTTCACACAGAAGGGTTCGCAACGTGCAAGGCACATAATTCATATGAAAATTTCCCTTACTTCTAATAAGCGAAATGCAGTGCATATTTAATACCCGCAAGTGTGTATATACAACTAAATCACTTGCACTCTAATCAGTAGACATTCATGTAAAGTAAATTGAAAACCTCACGCTCCACATTGTGATCAACAAGTAACTAAAAGGCGTCGGTGCAACTAGCCAGTGTCGATGAAATGCTTGGAATATTGTAGCATTGGTCTTGAGCGAGCTAAGACTGTGAGCATCTAAAATAAATGTTCCCAGCATACATTATAGAAATATTGGAATATGTGAAATATTAACTGACTACATTCCTGGCATTTACCGCTTTTACGGGTTAGAAAAAAGTTTTACCGAAAAAGATCAATAACTTTGGATCAACAAAATTATCATTTTTGAACAATCAGTCCCAATGAGCTAACATTATTTGTTGCTGTTTCCTCGACTAAACACAGATTGGTGAAAAATCTCCCACAATCTCATGTGTTTTAGTAGACTACTCGGCTTCATAGAACTTCGAGAGCGGTACATGGCAGTAAGAGAGAAAAGACTGTAGAATCGAGAGAAGAAAGAGTTCCATAAGCATATTTATTGTCATTCTTTTGAAGCGAAAACAACAATAATTTTGTTCAGTGCCAAATATGTCGAACTTTGTGTCTGAAAAAATGTTTCTGCGGCCAGTTCTTCTCCATATAATATGAATTGAAGCCAAGAGACGTTAAAAGATAATTTTGCATGTTAGAAACGTTGCTTGGACGCTACAAAAACAATTCGTATGAGCAGCAAATTGTGACTGTTGATGGAAAATGTATCCATTACGACAACCCTAAACGCAAAAAATTAAATGTGAAACCTGGTCAACCGCATAGCCGAATATTCATGACACCAAAGTATTGCTTTGTATTTGCTGGGATCAGAAGTGTGTACTGTAATGAGCTTCTAACACTGGGTTTTGCCATTAATGGGAAACCCTACCGACATGAACTCATCAAATTGAAGATAGCACAAACGACCGGAATTCGCGACTAAACACGAAGCAATAAATTTCCATCATGACAACGTTCGGTCTCATAGTGCAAGACCGGTTAAAAACAATTTGGAAAATAGCGTCTGGAAAGTTTTGCTTCATCCGCGTTATAGCCCAGACCTTGCCTGTTTCGGGCTCTTTGTTCCGGTCAATGCAGAACGAATTGGCTTGATTCGTTCTTGCCGCTGGAAGCTGGAGAAGTTCTATTGTGATTTTGTAAAACAAAAAAATACACGAATATAATTAGTTACAAGTAATAAGTTACTTTTTTCCTCTGTCTTAACACATTGGCTGCCAAGCGGTTTTGACGAAATTTTAATCTGGTGTTAAGCACATTTTTGCTATATCCATAATTATCCTCATAGTTGTTATCATAAAACCTGAACAAATTGTCATAGTGAGTTGAAAATTGGACCAAATTTCCATTGGTAGTGTAAGTTTAGGGGGTTCATAGCTCTAAAACGATGTAAAATAGCCCAAGATGTAGCGAAACTGCTTGGGAAACGTTTTAGTCACTGAAACAACAAGAACTTAAACTTTACTTTTTCTACATAAAATGATGGACTCCTAAGCAAGTTAGTTAATCACTTTCGAATATGATTTATAATAATTTTTTCTATATAAATTGGAATACAGAAATTTATATAAAGGTATATTACGAGAAATTTTTTTTAAAATTTTTAAACTGACTACAAAATATTTTAATCTATAAATCATCTATTTGGAAGTTCGAAGCTTTTTTCATTACTCAATATTCCTAAATGCAAACAAAAAATATTGCTTAAAAATTACCGTAAATTGAATTAAAATTTCGAAAACTAAACAAAGTATTTTTAATCAAACTTAAAGTGTGCAACACCGTACACAGCTGCCGTGAACAGCTATACCACAACATGTTGCGGTGAATTTCATGGAAATCAACACAATCACTTTTTGGCATATGCACACAAAAAGGCAATAATATTTAAGATATTCTTCACGTTGGCCCGCTTAAACGGTATTATTATATGTACTTGTATATGCTTATACACAGACAGAGTCGCCCACTATACAAGTAACAACAAAAACAACGAGTTTGATGTAAGCAAAAGTGAGTTGAGGTCAATTTATTTGCCACAGTTCGGCAAAACTTGGCGCGACGCCAGCTGATGGACTCGTGCAAAATTTCGACTTTCTTTGGTGACAGCGGAGTCCACGGCGTGTCAGCAACAATAATTCAACAAGTTTTTATAACAATTTTCTTAAAATTTATGTTTCTGTTATTTACCGTTATATTTACTTGTTGCCCGCATGCCCTTGACAATGAAATTGAATTTTGTACATAATAAATAAAACTAGCGTATATATGTGTGTGTATGTAACCAACCTTTATCCTTCTTCTTCTTTTCTTTGTAGGTATGTATTGGTGAAATTTCGGTGAGCCATTCTTTACATGTATATAGGTATCAATTATTTATCGTTGAGTTGGCATAAATATTTTATACTGTGGAAATGGAGCATAAATTTTCGATATTTTCTCTGCGATTTGACATTTTTGACATAGTGAGATGATAAGTGGTTTTGAGATTTTTTTGAGAGTGTGTTGAAAAATGTATATCAAAGGTTTTCAAGTACAAATTAGATATTGATATATATATTCATTTATATCTAAAATTTAATTTATCGTTAGGGGCACACCTATTGTTGCAACCTAAACAAGGAGATTTTTGGCAATTAAAAAAAAAAAAAAAAAAAAACTACTCCCTCAATTGATTTAAAACATTAAGAGAATATTTATACATATTTGAAATATACGCAATCAATTTTTTTTTATAAAAAAAAAGTTTAATATTTTTCGAATGACACGCGATCTCCGACGGCGTTGAAAAAAGGTACTCCATTTCTACAGGGATTACGAACTACTCAGTAGATGAAAGCTAAAAACAATTTCTTTACTAGAATATATTGTCCGTATAACAACTTACGTTCAAAACAAAAATAAAAATTGGCAAAATGTTGGCATTAAAAAGTTTTTCCCGAAATTTTGGTCGTTTGAAATTTCATAGAAATCTAATCACTTGTCTCCGACTAATCAACTCAAACAAATTTGAAAAATTTAGTTTTGATTAATTGAACTGAGACGTTATATTTTGAATTTCAAACTTAATACTAACAAAATTAGTATCTATAATATCTGATGGTGACGAGATTTATATTGCAATTATATTCAAATTTATGTTTTCGCACCAAATTTTCACGCATATCTACATATAATATGAACATTCATATGAATTTTTGAAAATTAATGCTTAAAATGAATGAGAATATGAAATATATAGCTTTTAAATCAATTTATCACTCACTTTGCTCAATAATTACAAGCATCAATAAACATTAAATATTTAAATTATTTTATTTTATTTTAATTATTAACCTATATAACATACATTACACACATATACACATATCTACAAAGTATTTAAAGAACTATTTTTATTGCATTTACGTCTGTTGTGCTCACGTTTTGGCTTAAAGCCAAATTAGCTGTCTAAAAATACACATATATACACATATACTCTTTATGGTTGCTAAGCGAAAGTAAAGAAAAGAGCTTAAGGTTAGCAATTTTGCGCTACAAAAGCAAATTTTTGCGTGATTTTAAGAGCATGTACTTTAAAAAAAAATAATGCAAACAAGTAAGGAAGGCCTAAGTTCGGATGTAACCGAACATTTTATACTCTCACAAAGTCAAATTGTATACTCGTTCGAGATTTTTTTAAATATTTTAATAATTAGAAGTAGGAACTGTTGCCACAGTTATTTACATTCACAGTATATGAGTAAAACACGCACTCACACATTTTTATTGGAATAACTCACATATTGGATATATGCGGTATAAAGTCACTCGGAAGTTCAAAAATCTTTATATTAGGTATATGAGGGCTATAGGAAGTATTGATCCGAATCAACCCATTTTTGCCACAAACCCATACTATTATCGAGAGTTTCATTTATTTATTTTATTATGAGAATTTCAATTATAAATCTTACACAATGGCCGATATTTTCGGTAGAAGGTCAACTATAGGCACTGGGGTCCACATATTCAGTACTTTGGGTCTTGAAAAGTTTTGGTTCGATTTAGACAATTTTTGGTCAGAAGGTGGCATACTTTAAACGTATTATTCACGCAAAAGTTTGTGGATGGAATTTAAAATGGTAAATTTTTACTCAAGTTACAGCTTGCACAGACGGACAGGCGGACCGCCGAACACACAGTCAACCGAATTTCAGCTCGTCTCTTCATCCTGATCATTTATATATATGTATATATATAACCCTCTATCTAACTCGATTAGTTTTAGGTGATACAAACAACCGTTAGGTGAACAAAACGATTATACTCTGTAGCAACAATTTACTAGAGTATAAAAATTAAATGCTATAAATAAATTTATTTGAGACTGCACTGCAGCATTTTCGGATGAACTTGAACAAATCGTATTAGTGAGAAAAACATTGACTTCAATTGCGGTCAAAACCATGTATTTTCAGACATATGCACATGCTTCTTAAATGAAACATACGAAACAGTATGATCTGTCTTCGCATGAGTTTCACGATTAAAAAACGATATAAAAATTTTTTCATTAATATATTTATTTTTCTAAATCAGATAACTTTAAAAGTATGCAAATCTTTAATATACATAATATTGTATCTATGGGAAACATTTCTTTACATATTTACATTACAGATGATCTGTTTTGAAAATATCTCTGTATTCAAACATTTTGTCATTTCTATCAAGAACACAATGAAGATGAATTTTAACCAAATAATTGTTTTTTCTGACACAATTTCCAAGTGTTCAAATTTTTCCAGAAATAAATTTCAGTATCTTAAGTAGAGGTAGATATAGATGGAGCAAGAATTTCATTTATGATAAAAATTAAACGATAAATTTGGTTTTGAGATATTAACATATTTACAAAAAGTTACCTTAGTCAAAAAAACTATGCCAATTCTATTTAGATAAAAATCTAAAATTTGCAATTTTTCTGGCACAAATTTTTAAAAGGCGTAAATTTATAAGTATATCTAATCGTCCAATATTTGATGACACTTCTGTCATTTATGATTTGTCCTGTGAAAAACGCTAATGACCGGAAATACTAAACGAACTTTACCTCAAAAGACATATCCTTTAAACATAAAAGCCCTACACCTTCATTATACAAAAGTGCTTAAACATATTTAATAGAATCCGGTGACATGAAATGCCGTATTTACAAGTAATCGCTTACATCTTGCTCAGCGAAAATTGTCTAAGGGCCATTATATTACTATTAAAGGTCAACAACAGCAAAACAAAAAACGTGAAATGAAGAAACTGGAAAGGCGCACGCCCGGAACAAAGCAACAAGAGATATTTCGCAAAAATGCCAAATCTTGTAAATGTCAATTAATTTGCCTATCTTATGCAGAAAGAGGAAAAATTGCTCAGAAATTCGAGAGTTCTTAGAAAAGCGAATAATCGATGGAAAAAATTAAAGTAACTGAATGTGGTAGACCGGAAATTATCTGAGTAATGTAAATAGCATATTACATTATTCATTGCATATTTTTTGTGCGCTATTATTTTTGTGCAACTTTTTGTGACAACTTATTTAAAGTGCCGCTCAAATGGCAACTCAACATGGCAATGCCACACACGGTTAGTTGCGCATCCGCGGGGAAATCAAGAGCGCAGCATGGATACAATAAATAAGTGACTTAAATAAAATACAAGATAGCTTTTAGAAACAACACAACAATATATAATGTGGCAGAAGCAAAATCAAAGTAAATGACAAAGCCCAAAATGGGAAGTTTGGTGAAAAGAGGTGAAGCGAAAATTAAAAATACAGTTAAACGAGAAAAAACATTAACTTCGGCTGCACCAGGCTATTATAATCTTGACAAATGCATTTCTTATAGCATATAAGGGTATAAATAGATCCACTTGATTTTGATGGTCAATGTTATGGCAGCTATATGTTAGATATGGCGATCTAAACGATTGTACGAGATTTAGTGTTGTCTTTGGGCAATAATCTATTGCAGTTCCTGAAGATATCTGTCGAATAAAAACGTTTTTCATACAAGAACTAGTTTTTCATCGGTCATTTATTTGACAGTTAATGCTGTAGTGCCGATATCGAAGCTACTCATTTTGTGGTGAAAAGGTTGTGTGCAAATTTTCAGATCGATATCTGAAAAACTCAGAAACATGTTCGCTTATAACAGATGGGCAAACGAACGAAGTTGACACAGTACGTCACGCTAATCATTTATACATATACGTTTATATTATATTTCGTGGTGAACTAATATACCTTGTTTAGGATTAAAAATACACACTAATACAAAAATGTCGTAAATTATTGCAAGTAGAGCATATAGAAATGTATATTGTATGTATAACTTTAAAGAGCCTTAGTCAACGCTTGTAAAAACCTCATTTGCGGCTACTTCCGTTGTGTGCCGCGATTTTATAGGATGCTTGCATTTCCAGCTGGCTAAGTAGAGACGACCGCAACAGCAGCTGCACGCCAACGCAGTAACGTGGCAAGTGAGCGACGAAATGTTGATACCTCTGTAAAATCTCATCTCACCGCCACAGAATCATCATAATAATCGTCATTATTATTATCATTAACATCATCATCTTCATCATCAGCATGCCAACCCCACACATCATCATCAACATTATTATCACCATTTTGGCCGTTCACACACCAGTATCTTCTGACTGGCTAGCTCTCAGTCTGTTTTTCTGTTTGTCTGTCTGGCTGGCTGGCTACCACTTGCTACCTTGCTGACATGTCATTAATTAAAAAGTCCACATTGTAAATTAAAATTTACAATCGCACTACTCTGCGCTGTTCCTTCCTTCCTTCCTGTCAGCTGCGGCGCGCTTTTGCTGTTGCGGCTTTGTGATTTTTTTTACATTTTATATTTTATTTCACTACTTTTCCCTACTCAGCTATTAATATGAACGCTCTTAATGATTTTTTTCTTCTTATTGGTTAATGTACGGCTTATTGTGTTTCTCTCGTTTACACTATTTTTTTGTATTATTTGCTTTTGCTTCCGTGTGAAAGAGTCATTATTGCGTACACGCAAAAAAATTTAACAGAAATGCAATTTTTTGCTCTTCATTAGTATGCACTTCTTTGTCCTGGTTCTCAAAGCAATTTCTGCATTCTGAGTTACTAACTGCAGTTAGCAGAGTGACGCAGCTGCGCTAACTTAGATATATTTAAAGTATGTAGCTTTCGCAGGGTTGCATTTGATTGCAGGTATGGTAAGTTAGATTAGGTTAGCTTTTCAGTTTGTAAGAGGAATTTTTCAAAAGTATTCAGTCTTTAAACAATACTAGTCATCCTGGGTTGGAGTAGGATAAGGGTTGAGTTCATAAATAACCAGAGTAGTAGTATTCAAACTCCGCTAAT